TTGAGAGTCCCCATAAAACAGAAAAACCAACCTGTGTGTGTGTGTGTGTGTGTGCGCATGAGTTTGTCTGACCGTGAGTGACACAGGGTTTGTGGGTAGTGCCGGACTCTCCTGAACACGTGACTGGTGTGTGTTTTAGACGAGGGGCCGCAGGGGACGAACTGACTACTTTCATCATCATCGTCCCTGTTTTGGCTCAGCCAATCATCACCCAGCGAGGAGGCGGAGTCCTGGCTGGGCGGGGCCTGGCACTTGGGTGGCTCGTGCAGGGAAGGGTTGGAGGCTCCGTCTGCTAGCGGCTAAACATTCATCAAACACACACATTAATAACGAGTCAGCACTGAAGCTCTGACTGACTGGAGATCAGGACTCACTCTGTATCTCTGGTTGATGGGATACACCACCCTCGCCTTCAGCGCAAACGCCGCCACGTCGCTGTTCACCGCCGACTGATGCCGCTCCTGAGAGAAGACGAATACAAGATATCAATAAAAGCACTCGCGAACATCACTCAGGGAAGCTTCATTTTGTCAAGCAGATGAAGGAAGTTTGTGCTAGAAACTCGTGCTGGAGCTGGTGTGAGTTAAACTCTGCAGGACCTCCAGGAGCAGGTCTGGACACCCCTGATATAAACTATGCCATAGTTTGGGTTCCTTGCCACTGTCGCCTTTGACTTCCTCAGTGAAGATTTAAAAGACAATTCATATTCAATTATAATGACACTGTTTATATTACTGTGAAGCTGCTTTGAAACAAGCTGTATTGTATGAAGCACTATAGAAATAAAGAAGATTTGATTGTATTTAGTACTTGGCAAAGTTCAAGGACAAGGTGAGAGTCTGGTGACATAAGCAAGTTTTACTAATTAATTCACCAATTCTATCACTTTTAAAAAGTAATATGACACATTATTGATGTCCTGGTAACCAAAGTTAACTAGTTATTGACTTTTATATGGACAGTAGGTATGTGACGTGTGTGTTTTCTCCACCATCTCTCGTCTCTCTCTGGCAAACGAGTGAAGATGCACATTTATCATGTTTTCTGTATCATGTAGGGTTGGAGTTTGTGGTACGTACGGCTCCTTTAGCAGGTTCTGCCTCCTCTTGTGTTCTCCTGCTGTCACAGTCGCTCTCCTCCTCACACTCCTCTAGACGCCTCCGCAGACCTTCACACACCTTCAACACAACACAACACTAACAGTCCATATACCGGAGTAGACTACTAAATTATGTTGGCATTAATGGAAGTGCATTAGCATGGTTCAAATTGTACTTGTAACACCGCCATCAATTCGTAGCAGTGAATGAAGAGGTATCATATCGATCACAAGTGCAGTATGGAGTACCTCAAGGCTCAGTACTAGGGCCGTTACTCTTCACGCTTTACATGTTACTCTTGGGAGATATCATCAGCAAACACGGTGTTAGCTTTCACTGTTATGCTGATGATACTCAGCTCTATATTTCTTCACGGCCCGGCGAAACATACCAATTTGAAAAACTAACGAGCAAGTCTTGATTGACAAGAAACACTTCTGTTCAGGCCAAGATGAGGCTCTGTTCCAGCTAAACAACCACCTTCAAAAGAAACAAATAAAGCCCATACTAAAGGACAAACTAAGTTATAGTCACTAATTAAAACAAAAATAAACAACACTCATTGGGTCCAACAATCATTAACATTTTTCTACATCTATATGATATTTAAGACCCTAAAGAGAGCTGCTCAGCTAATAACCCTGTATTCAGCTCAAAGATTTTCTTCCTTTCCTCCTTTAATGAGTAAATTGTGTGTCATCATAAAATCATGAATGATGAAAAATGATTGTAAGATTTTATTATTTGAGGCTACTTAATTTAACGCAAGAGGCTAATGCCATGCTGAACATACCCAAACAAACACAACTGGAAATTGGATGAATAAAAATAACAGAAAGGAAACAGAAATCTCTGACAAACCTGAATGAATGCTAAACTAACTTTTCCATACACATACCCACACTTTGCACACAACTACAGTAGCATCTGTCCTGTCATTCAACCTCACACTGCAGCTTCTATTAATAACAAGAAGCAATGTTTGACTTATAAACTGTGCAATTTGTGACAGTCTGTGAAGCATCTTAAAATAGCTACCATTCATTTTTAATTGGATAGCAGTAAGATAAGGTCACAAAACGGCCTATTGCACACAAATCAGGTTCTTCCCTATATATCTATTTCAAAAAGTAAACTCACATACTTACTGTAAAGTGACCAGCATGGCTATGAGTGTAAAACTGTTTTATATTGACATTTATATTGATATTTATAATATTGAAAAACTTACGTTTCAGACAAAATAGGCCTGTTAGTTTTCCACCAAATGAAGTCAAAACAAACCAAAGCATCAAGTTTTGAGTACCGCCAAGCAACAAACAAACTGAAACACCATACAAGAGTGAAGCAGAGAAACACAGATTTCCCCTCATTTGTAATAACTAAGTTCCAGCTCCAGTTTGGGTTTTCCATTTCCTGCTACCTACTCATTTTGCACTCACTGGTGTGAGAAACCCTGCTCCGAGCGATCCGGGGGCGAGGAACCAAGACTAACCACCATCAAATGCATCTAAGTTAGCAAAGGAATTGGTCCAAATGCATGCACTTTTTCCCATTATAGGTGAATGCAAGAAGCATCTTCAGCACAAGAGTTTCAGATGTCCATGAATGATCTGAAGAATAAACCTTGCAATAGTTGCAGTGGTATTTCAAAATGTTTGTTCTACATACTAACTCTTCTCAGGTATGTCTATTTGTATAAGTCGTTGTACAGGGATTCAGGTGTGGGCCCTCGGGCATCTATTTATCTTACTAAAGGAGTCGTCAGATTCAACCATGTAATCAAGTATGTGCCCAGAGCCAGGCTTACTGATAGTGCTTGTTTACTAGCATCTGCTTTGGATATCTGGCATTGACGTAACCACACAGGGTACAGCAGAGATGGGTTGATGTAGCAGCTTTTCAACCAACAGTCTTTCAGAGAAAGAAATGTGATCAAGATCACAACCTTTGTCTTGTTGGATTAGAAGCATTTACAGTAGAAAGGTTTCAAAGCGCAGGATACCATTACTTTGAAATGGATGTGGCTACATCATTGAAAGAGCTGTCAGACTGAAGCAAAAGACAATGTGTTTCTACCACTCAACACATGCCAAAGTTTGAAGCTACACATTGTGTAGTAGAGATAAAAGATGGATCCGTTAGTTAAACACAAATTTGTCTTTATTTGCAGGTGATGATTCTTCAAAGATGACCTAGCTGGATCCGGGTAATGAAAGGACCACATCTAAAGATACATCTCTATGTTATCATCCGCTGTCTTTTGAACACCTTTAGTTGATGCTATTATTACAGACGGTATTGCTAATCCTTGCAACTTCACTAAAACAACAGCAGTTCTGTGTTGGCTCTTCCTCTGATATTCAGATTTTGTAACTTATCTTCTCAAATAGAATGCATGCAAGGTATACATTTTATTAGTCAATGCATTCACTGATAACTACGGTGGCCGAGAGAGCTCAACGCGCTGCAACTTAAGAAAACACCAGCAAATTGAAAAAACACCAGCAAATTAAGAAAACATCTTCATCAGTTTGACAACACACGCGCTGCAAATCCTCACAACACATGCAAATGAAGAAACGCGCTGCAAATAGCACGGACCACAACGGAAATGTTTCAAGGGGACCCAAAAAAGGGACGGACCCGGCTGGGATTTGTTTTGTGGAGTGGCTTTTTTTTTTTTTTTGAGTTTCTGCCAGTGATTCCTTATTTTTTTTTAAAAAAAATTTATTGAAGATATAACATTCACAGGGGATACAGTCATAGCAATAAATTACATACACAACCAGAATACAAAACAATAAATATATAAAGAATAATAAACATGAAATATAAACAGAACAAAAACAAATAAATAAAAAGTTAAACATCTTTTTTTTGTAAATAAATCATAAATTAAAATAAAAAATAACTTAAATGGAAAATTACACATAAAATGTCAACTTCAAAAGAACACACCGGAGGTAACCCTGACATCAGAGTCAATATTTCTCCATCAGTACAGTAGCTTAGCAGCTCTCTTATGAAGTGATGCGCAGAGATCCAGACATCCTCAGATCGGGCACACACTCAGTAGCTGTACGTTTGTGAAGATGAAGGCCACAAAGAGTTCACAGTTTTAAGATATCATGCAGCTCCTTTGATCCTGATTCCCAAATCAAAAATAGTGCATTAATTACCTCAAAACTAAACCGTTTGTTGTAAACCGAGAAAACCAGCAAGATATTTCTTTCCAAAAATCCTTTGCATATTCGCATTCAAAACATAAGTCTTGTGAAGAGATGTCCAACTTAAATGTTGAGAGTAAAGCGTTACAGGATAGCACATGTGAAGAGGCTTATAATAAAAGTTCTTTCATCTGGTTAGGTAACAGAGACGTGTTAATACCGGCCCATACTTTAATACTAGAAAGAAACGGGTTATTTATGTTCCACTTATAACATGCTTCAGGATGACAACTAAACTGCTTAATAAGGATTTTTCTAATCCAGAAATTGTTACATTTAACATTAGAAAGCTCCAGACCTCCAAAACTAATGTTTGGCACTTCAGATTTTGAAGATGTAACAATCCCTGACCGAATGTAGCAGTTTAGGTGAAATAGAATTAATAACCCATTCACACACTCTAGGTGAGGTATCCACTTCAAAGACTTCTGAAAATCCAGAAGTTACCATCCTTTTTTAACAAATCTAAAACAAAAATTACACCTTTGTCAAACCAGTTTTGAATAAAGACAGATTGTTTTTCCACGCAGCACTTTCTGATGAAGAAGTGACTAGTTCATCTCTCGAGTCTTTCGAATCGTTCGTTCTTTTGCCACGTGACGTGACGGCATTGGAGAGAGAAATTAGTTAGTTAACCACCATAACGTCTCCAGACGTGTTTTTTAAAAGTTGAACTTGCATTAATATTACATGGCTTTCTAAACATGCGGCGCTCTTGTGCGAGACGCGAGTGCAGCGCTGATAGATGTCCCTCTAGAAAATCAGATAAATATGTGTTCTGTGTGAACGGCTTGGTTTCAGTTTAAACAACATCTTCTCCGCACTGATGCTCTCGTTTTCCGCTATATATGAAAGAACAACACAGCAGCGCCGCATCTAGGCTTCAACTGGATAGACTAACAAAAGCATTCAAATGCAATCATCGTCATCGCATCTGGTGCGCCGCTGATAAGCTGCCTGACGTTTTGGCATTCAAATGTTGATTTTTTTTTTTTTTTAATTCGACGAATATTCAAAATTCAATTTTTTTTTATACAGCGCTAATGACGAGAGCAATGATTTGGGCATCAATGCAATACAGTGTTGGGGTCTACTCCGAAATGTGCCGCTAATATTTAGCGACATTGTGCCCCAAGACGATAAATACTGGCAATACTTTTACTACAAATACTGAACATTGTATTTTCTCCCATTTGAACACTTAACTACTGAGCATCACAGGCTGTTCAAGTGCTTATTTCAGGAAAGGATCTGCTGCCTAAACATCATTTAATGTGTCACTACCCTCGGTGGATATGAAATAGTGGGCCTGTTGTTCTCATGTGGTCAATGCGATACGAGTCCAAACATAGTTTCTTCAAGACTCCACCAAAATGTTTCAAGAACATGACTCGGATGCTTGCCAGAAAACA